TGTGGGCGCGCAAATGGGCTCGAGAAAACTCCAAATNAAATTGGTATGTTGTTTGGATTACGTCATTGATACTAACCATGTTATATCACGGTCATGTGTATAGGCGATTTCCTGTTCCGTTTCCCAGGGGATTTCTAGTACTTGGACCAATTTTCGGCATGTTCACATTCAAACTGCATGAGTTGGATGCTACTCGTCTCTGCGATCACTAATGTCCGAAACCGTATTGCTCTCGAGGGGTGTGGCGAAACTTGATACCTGCATCCGAATGACCAATTTGGAGGTAATTATCTTATCCACAGCCATCAATTGTCCGTTATATAGATGATATCTTTTGCGTCAAAATTCAGTGCGACACATTCGTGAATCAAGTTCACAGTTTGAGGTCAATGTTGTAATATCTGCTTGGATGGCTAGTTTAGTGTGTAGGAACCAAATTTCTACCCTATGGTCTTTACTTTTGTTGTTATCGTAGCTTATTCACGAACTCGTTGTACGTTGATAGAACACCGTTGATTTCAATTTACCCCGATTACAAAGAAAACCTTTCATTGGCAGTGCACTCGAACCGAGTTTCGATAACCAGGTGCGAACGAGTCGATACAAATTTAAACCTACTGGAAATTTTCAAGACATGAATTAAGACCGAACAAATACCAATAGATTTATTGCTCGCAACGTGCAGTGATGCGAGTGGAGAAGTCAGCACACGATCACCAGGAAAATTGTGCTGAAGATGTTCAGATAAAATAGTTTTTGCTCATCAGAAGACTCTCAATTACAAGAACTTTGCAGATTGCCGACTTGAACCGTGTTCCTGGCATTCGACAGTTTTCGGGACTGATGTCGTTTTCCATTTAAATGGAAAAACTATAAATTCATTTCACTGGCCATGAAGAGCCCGAGACACTCTGTCTACTTCAGTCTACATCCCACTCCCCAGAGCTAGATATTCTACATTGTACTGATATTCAATTTGATATTAAACCTCGCTGTTTTTTTTTCTATCTTTCGCCTCTCGTTACTTGCAAACAAATTGTTTTCGGGGCTACATCTATGAAGTATTTAGTCGTTATTTCGCCTCATAGTCTTTCGCGGTCTCTATATTTTTTGAAGTTCGTAAAATGTCCTTCCATGCCTACAGATTTAGGAAACGTGACACCTCTTAATGCTTCCTACGTAAATTCGTCATCTCATTCACTATCGCTTACTGGTCATATTGGTTCCCTGGCATTCTTCTGGGTTTTAACGATAAACACTTTACCGTGTTTGTCAATTCTATCACACTCCTAACCAGACCCGGTGGTATTTTTCTTAATGATTTTGTTGACTGTGATTGTTCGCAAGCATTTCGACACATGCGCATCTTAGTAAACTGCCTAATCATTATTTTTTTACTTTTCAGTCTGAATTTCGCGTTATCTTTATCATTTCATTTTTTTAAGCATCACTTTCTCTCTCATTCATGAATCATAAACTGAAATATCGGAATGTATGAAGCACTTCTTGATTTCACTTCGCCTGATATGAAGTCACTTCACAGCCCCGAAGTGTTTGAATGGTCTGGAATCATTCATGATACGAGTATTTAACCTTGCCCTCTCAATGGAACCGTGACGGGTAATCCAGTGTTACTTAGTTCACCGCTTACGGCATTTTTTACTCGCAAATCCTACCAGATGCCCGTCATTCGGTGAATATTAACAGAATTTGGCATTTCCGTTGGGCTCCAGTATGTCATTGCACTACCACATACTACACTGATAGTGAGCTGATACACATACGGACAGAAATGCCCCTCCTAAAAGTTATGATATGGGTGTAACAAGTATACAGAGTTGTAACCGGCAACACTTCGCGATACCCATTCAGGATCAAAAGTACATGCACTGGTTGGTCATTTGCATTTAGTACCCTCACCAACCGTTGCACTTACGCTAGTAGCAACAGTAATACTGTCTTGTGGAGCATCTTCCCATTATTTCTTCATGTTATCTATCATGCTGTTGAGGTTTGCATCATACTTCGCTTTTACTCCGCCACCCATGGTGTTTTTTGCTTGGCTGATATCTGGCTAGCAGACTAACCAAGGGTGAGAGACGATTCTTCTATGTAGTACATTATTCTACATAATCCAAGAGCTATGTGGTCTACCGGGGGTCATCTGGCCTGATCCATCTTTCTATATTTAATAACCGAGGGACCAGTTGACTGTTTAAACGCAAGCGATATTTGGCCTCAATAGTCTCATCTCGTTTATGGTCGTCATCCTTCTCAAACGGTAAATTCAGGTTCTCCCATTCCTCAAATAAGTATCAAGGGTCTTCAAAATCCACCAACTTGGCTTTTCAGATCTCCGCATTCTCATTCATGTCCAAAATCGACTTGCCTAATATCCATAGAGTTCGCTCGGCGGGAAATTGTGACGACAACTGCCATGCCGAGTACCAGGGGATTCATAAAGCTGACTTGTAGGTACCTGATATATGGGAGCACCGTTAGTAGCTCAGGTGACTTGGTCGAACAATATTTACCACATTCCACAACATAGTAAATAAGTTTTTCAAATTGTCTCCCGTATGTGTTCTTACTGGTCGATGGTAACCGAACCAATATGAGAAGTGGTGAGTTAGTTGGAGTCGAGAATGGCTTCGCTGTTTTCACGCGCTATTTTGGACTCATTACGCGAATGAGCTTCGGCAGATCAGATTGCATTTGTGTGACGGCTCATAAAATGCGCTGAATATGCGTTTCGTCTTTGTTGGGCATAGTCAGTGCGTTTATGTTTGTTTACCACATAAAATATCGTAGCATTTTAAAGCGTGTTGTCAGATGGGGAATTCGTGAATTCTCAAGGAGTGAGTACCACACACACGGGCTGTGTGATATCGACATAATTACACACTGTCCCCAATGGCGGTTTAAGAATGAAATCACCAAACACGTAGGCCTTGTCTGCGATCAGTGCTCTGATTACAACAACGGGCACACATCCTGACTTGGCTTCCAAGCCAAAACAATATACGAATCAAATTCGAATATTTGACACGCGACTTGGATAATGGAACCACCGATTCAGTCACACCCTGACGGGTGAGTAAGTTAGGCTGAAATAATACTAATGAGCATCATGGAAGCAGAAAGGGGTTGAAGTTCCCTTCATTTCTGAGTTCCACCTTTGGCGTGTTTACTTGACTTTCAATCGCGTAAGTAAAGTAGAAGTGATCGATCATGTTATGTTTGTTGGTTGACTTTCATCACCCTCGCATAATGAACTGAACGAAGCGACTCATTCCTTTGAATGTGCTTTGCGTTCTCCAATTGCATGGTGCTGGAGCAAAAACTGGCAGAAGCGTGTCTCCACACAACTTTTGTGATGGTCAGATGATGTGAACGAAAGCGTTACGATTGCGAGACCTGGACTCTCACCACTGTGGGTATTCGAGTAGCGATATATTCAATAATATTCAACAATATTCGTATCTATTGGCAACAAAGGGCAAGTAATGACGGGGTTGTCGTGTTTTGGGTGCTATAAACCACTTCTGACGGCTCGGTCATGTTGTACCAGTTCATCCTGCACACACACACACACACACACACACACACACACACAATTCAAAAGCGTATGCTGAGGGAATTTTTACTGATGATGGAGGAATGGGACCACAGTATCCTTAATTGTGATCCTTCAGTGGTTTTGGTGGTGTGTGTCCATACGCGAACAATTTTGCTTGCTTGACTGGTGACCAGAGACTGGATGTTTAACCTGGAAGATAGAGAATGTTATCTAGGGTTTTACAGTAACCATCCATCATAAATTAGCTGGAATAGTAAACGCATCTTTCTAACGGTAGTCCTACTCCAATGTATCCAGATGGTTTAAATGTCTGACCTTATTGCCCCGGATACAAATGCTCTTATGTTTGTACCGTCGTTCATGTTGTTGTTTCTGTACTTCTAAGATTGTGATCAGTTTGAATAGAGAATCCATCAACACAGGTTTGCACCATGTATCCTGGATTATTTCACTGTATACATACTGCCGTTTATGTAATCATTAGTATATGCTCATAAATAAGATAATCATAGGCGGAGATAGACTGCGGTTAAAATAACTCACCAGGAGAACATACTCCTTGAAAATGAACAATAGAATTAATGAAGAGAAATTCGAAGAATAAATATCTTTTGGTGAGTTCTAATCTATCAGTATAAGCATAAAATTACGTATACATGAATATTCTTGTTTTACTCTATGCCACTTTACGGACATCAGTAGGACTTGTGTATTGATCCCATCGCAAGGTTCGTTAATTTCCCAGTAGATCTACCGATGCGTAAATTATGTTTCGGACATTATTTTTTTACAGCAATTCCCAGTCAGTTCAAACAGATCCAAGAGGTTACTCGTATAGTCCTCAACTGTGTTGAATGCAGTATTCCGTTCGGAACAAACGAGTTTCACATGATTTGGTTAGGGCTGGACCACCTTTCTTAGATGTTCCATAGGTCGATCGGACAATGGTAATCTTCTGTGGAGCAAAAATGTGTTAGGGTGATCCGCGAAGTGTTTGTTTACTTGTAATGGTTTGGATGTGGCGGTAAATTGTCTCTCTCACCTGTTCGTCCACCCCTGTTTTTGGAAGAGAATTATTGGCTGATTTCATTGGTCGATTGATTAGTCCGGGGTGTGGTATAACCCATCCTTGATCCCTGATTGGTTACTTCTGTGGGTAGGCGGATGGTTCAAAGTAGCTAAGCGAGGGGAAACAGACGACACGTCTTCTAACCAGCCAATCGGATGACAAGCTTTGTCATCACCATATGTCACCCTCTAAAGCAGGGGTGCAGTGGTAAATCGGGTAGACACAAAGGGTGTAGAATAGGAACAACGTCAATAGAGGGGGGAAGAGATGGGATAAAAACTTTCTAAAACGAGTTGAATTCATCATTAACATCAAGTGGAAAATATCGGCGAATATAGAACGAAGCGGGTAATGAACCACACGGCAACTTTGGCAAACAGTGATATGAACCCGGTCAAACAGTGGGACCGAGTCGGATACGATACGGATATCTTTTCACCATTGTATGAGCCAACTGCTATGACTGTGACCTACTTACGCACTGCCACTGCTGCTAACGCGGTCACTAATCGTGGTCATATCAGTTCAGAATCCAGTTGGTTCCCAACAGTTGATCATCACAATCATCAACCCGGTCCACACTCGTCGTTCCATTACGCAATGCATTTGCCTCACTTAATTCCCAGCCTAAATCCGTTCACAACAGCGAATTGTGAACGATGGCCCACAAGAATGATGGAAGACCAACACAATCCACACCACTGTCATTGTCAACCCAACCTAACAGCCACTTCGCATCGGTTTGCAGACGATGAACTTGTGACAGGAACGATGGAATCCATACGGGCATCCGTCAACCTGACTGAGAACGATAATTCCCATTGGGATAATAGGACCGGGGCTAATCAAATAAATTCCGGAATGAATCCCCTAACACATCACTTCGGACGGCTCAGTGCACAAATGCACTGCTCAATGTTGAACCCATACAAATCTCCCATTCCTGCCATCTCACCAGACAGTACAGCATCGTCTGAGTTGGTCAATCGACCCAAGGCATCCGGTGGTCCGCTGACGTTTGAATCCTCGTGGAATTCGTGTACATCCGAACTACACAACTCATCATTCCCTCACCCACGGTTTGATTCCAAATCCCCATCCGGATCTATTGTGTCCAGTTTAGTTCCAATATCAGCTCCGTCTCCACGCGTGGACTCAACCAGTCACGAAACAGTACATCAGTCCGCGATTTGCATGACCACGTATCATCATCATCGATCTCCAGATCGGCAAAAATTAGCCCGAGTACAATGGACACGAATGGATAGCCCGTTGGCTCTGGTGACCGGTTTGTGCAATACTAGTGAGACGGAGGACAGGGGACGCATATCGTTGAACTTGACCATAGAACGAGAACAAATGAAGTCGAGTAGTTCAGGTAAGTTGGCCACCCTTCGGTTGATTAACAGCGGTAAAGATCGATGCAGAATAAACGTAATTTTTAAAACACCATTTATTTACCAGTCTAATGACTTGTTTGCGGCAATGGTCTATATTGCCATAGTGAAGCTGAGTCAACGTCCAAACTAAACTGCTTTTTGGAAGTTGACAGCGTGATGGTTTCAGACCGGTTCACATCATTCCTACTTACAGTTATTACATTTTCAAATGAATTGTGTAACACGTTCCCTTGAGGAATAACCATCGGAGGATTATGTGATGAATTCGTCGCGTAAATGAGGTGCAAGCTGAAAAGCTTGGTAGCACTGATGAGACCCAACCGGATTGAAACAACTCACGTCTCACACATCCAAGTTCATCATACAATCAAATAAAATCGTTCATTACACTCACTGTAGGATTATTTCATTCAAGGAATTTGTAATTTGAAATGAAACTAGGTTGGTTTAAAACTCGTTAATTGTTAAATTTAATATTCCTATACACTTTTTCAATGTAAAACGAAAAACAGCGAAAAATACTAAGTGATTGGCTGGCTCTATGTTCACGACCTATGCATGCATCTTTCTACGGTTTCAGGGAACAAGTACGTGTTCTATCGCTTCGTCGAAAAGATAAAATCTACCGCATAGGTAGGAATGACGAGATCCAATTTGATGGCAAAGTGAACGCATTGCTACAGAGTTACGCCGAAATGAAATTTAGATGACTTTATTTGTTCGAACAATAAATTCCAGATAGAAAAGTCTAAAAACCGAACATTAAGGGACGTTTTCGGTTTTTGATTTAAACTCACTGAAATCAGTTTCATGATCCCCAATAGGGATGATGTAGGAAGTGAACCGCAAACCACTGCAAAACTCGTCTATACGGACCGAATCCTAGATAAACGAAAGACGTAATTACCATGGGAACTGTAACACGGTCATATTTATGAAAGATATTTCATGTGATCATCTTAGGCGCTTGTTTCCGCGCACGTATGAGGGCATCTCTGTTCTACAAGTTACCGTAGAATTTGATCAAAACCACTGAGTTGCCAGATGCTAAATCATGGATGTGAATAGATGATACAAGCTTCATGAAGAATACAACCTAGATTAACAAAACATCTCGGGACGAAGACCTAAGTGAGTTGCTAGCGGGTATACTCAAACTCAGTTACGGATATGTTTAATACGGTGTTGATTGGATTTGCCACTGTTTTCTGCTTGTTTAAACAGTAATAACTTTACCGTCGTATTTTTACTTTTATTACTTTTATTGCTTTCAACCAAACACAGTTTGCCCGCCTTCATTACGCGTGGACCTTGCTTCGGCGATCTACTAATCACGTGACGTATACACATGTTTATTCTTCTCGTTCTCACGAGGCTCATGAAACTTGAGGGTACAATGTCATGTCCTCATTAAGCTTGTGACTTCAAAATGTCGCGATGCGACTGTTTCTTTTCATGTGTACATATTTTACAGAATATGTATAGACGTTGGAAGGAGTCAGGCCTCATACCATAGTGAGCTCCAACTTTGCCTATGCGATGATGGAATCTCAAAGCGATAGACAAGTTTGATTACTCTAATTGTACCTTCACCGTTGTTCTCAGTGACTGATCATCATATTTGGAGATATGATACCCCAGCCAATACCATGAACTGAGGTTGAATTGGAACATTCTGAAGTGCTCCGAAGAACTTGAAACCTAAAAGAATAACTTTAGTATGATGGTGGTAGAGGAAGTGATTCGCGGTTAGCACTGAATATGATTTACAGTCTTGATAATTTTACCGAGTAGCTGATCATACGCTTTGAATTGACTCACTAATTATCACGGTAATTTTTCTTGGAGGCTTCATAAAAGCGCATGTGCCGGAACAATTGTATAGCCCACCAGTCTTCCTACTTATTAGACTTTTATTGGAACTAGCCTCGTTATGTACAGGAATTGGGATCCACAAATAAGTATTTAATAGGTCTTGTTGGAACTCGCCAGTGTTGCATATGGACTGAATGCATTCACTGTCAAGAAATCTAACTCAGTTCATCGAAACCAACTTTCTGTCGAGACCGTCCGGTGCTTATCTGACTCCGGCATTTATGGTAAGATACCTGGACCCACTTTTGGTCACGTAGTACCAAGAACCTTGGAAAACCTGTTCTGATTACATTAGTCTTGATTGCATTGCGCTATGATGNACACATTGAGGATCTTCTTTTTAGAGTAAAGAGAGTTTTGATTAACCCGGAATTTGCCTCGGTCATCCGCTGATTCCCGTTTTCTCACCAAAGCCTTGAATTAACTAACGTCGCGTTTTTTTCTTCCTTTTCCTCACTTTCTGTGAGGCAGAATTCTATATGTCAATGTGATTTAATTCTCACGATCATCACATTGGAATAAAGCTTAAATTATGGATAAAGGGGATACATGAAAATGGATTTTTAAGGTGTTAATATGCTCAATTTTTCTTGCACTTTTAACAGGGTTTCACGGTATCTAATGTGGTTCTGCAATGTATAAAACAAGCAATAATGAACTGCGAAAAATCCGATACACTGATTGAAGAGACCTAAGATTGCACAAACCATGATTAGAGGAGGTAGCACAATTAATGCGTCATAAATAGTTAAGAAGGGGAACCAGTTGAAGTCGAATCGTCTGCCTGTACTGTACTGTTCTTTTTGACCAAATTGACTAACAATATGAATGAAGATTACGCTCCACAGACAAACAACTTCTAAATTCCCGAACTCGATTCTCTTCTTAAATATTAGGCGTGAATTTATAGTGTATTTCCCAACTAAGTGTGGCGTTCATAGTTGTTGTTCTAACGACAGAATCATTGAAATAGATCAAATGTGGGTTGCTGGCAAATCCGGAAAAATTGGAGGAAATCTGGAAATTCATGCTTTCCACATGCCAATCTACAATTGAAATGAGCATATTTAGCTTGGTACGTGATAGGATAAATTCCACGGTTTTGATCAAACATCAATAGAAGATAAACATTGCGCTTTGATTAATTCGGTCGCAAAAATTAGGGGATTAAAAGGAGTATGTGGTGTAAACAATCAACTTATAGATCATTATTTTGTGATCAATTGGGAAGATGGTGGTGAAATGCTTGTAGTGATGCTTGTAATTCTCCTATGTATATACATTCCCGTTACTTTGTCCTCGTTTGTTATGCTGACGATAATTAAAGGAAACCTCATTCGTCGCCAACATTCTCATCTGAATCGTTTCTGATATCCGTGCTTGTAGATGGTCGTGAAAGCCCAGTTGAATTCCATTAAATTTCAGTTTGATGCAGAAAGATCAGCTGTCCAGTGGGCAAGTGGGTAATTTGCTTGAGTTCTGTCTGTGAGGTCCCAGTGTTGATGGATTTACACTCCTACTGATGAGAACTAACCAGGTCAAAGCAGCTATCTAGCGTCTTCTAACTTTTCACTTCATGCTTCATTTTTTCTACATTAGAAGAAATTCACTGAACAGTTAATTAAAATCTCCTTTACTCCCAAATGCACCTGAAGCCGATCGATTTTACTTCAGTTTGTGTTTCTTTAATTACTCTTTCAATTAGCATCCGATGGTTTGAATCAACCCTAAGTTCGCTCTGTGATTTACTTCAATCAAGATGGTTGAAACTTACTGCATCATACATTTCAGTAAGTGAGTAATCTTTGTATATGAATCTCATCTGTCGGATATCAACATTGTCAAATAACACCGTTAACTCATCGAACTGGACGTCCCAATCAAACGAACAACGGGAATGTGTGTTCGAACCCCACCACCACCGCCTAACTTCGCCCATGGCAGCTATTTGATAGGCCTCTTCCCCCTTCCTGAAAATTATATCACTGTGTATTCAATAAAAAGGAAGTGAAATTATAAAGAAAAAAAATCAACCAGGTGGAGACACCGTACAGACGATAAAAATACTGTCTATAAGAAAATCCTTCAGATTAAGACCTACATTTTTACAGTACATAAGGTAGCACAAGTTATTTTGCGTAACCATCACTATCCATTTCCACATTTAAGTATTTAGATTTAAGATCCAAAATGTTTTTCCCTCAGGGTCCGCTTGCAGTCCTCCAACAGAAGACACTCCCGAAGATTTGGCTCATAAAGTGGCCGGCGAATTGTCTGATCGCCCACTTTTTCATGTCCAGTCGCCGGAACTCGGTTGGACCACCCCACACGCATTCTGTCCCACTCCGACTGAGCATGTCAGTCGAGCGGGCAAGCGTAAATCCGATCGGACTAGAGGAGGAGATGATCACGCTTGGACCAAATCAACAAAACGCGAAGATATTCCAGATGAACCTTGCCCAGCCCACGCCAACTATTGCACGGATCCTGTTCAGTCCGGGTTCGGTAGTTTGCTCAAACAATCCCTTGCGGATGGAGAGTGCAATTCTCGATCAGATGAGGTGGATGAATATCGTGATGAATGCATGACTTGTACAGATTCCACGGAATTCCCCGGTCGATCCAGGAAAGAGAGGACCGCGTTCACAAAGCAACAAATCAACGAATTGGAACGGGAATTCACTGTGCACAGTTATTTGACTCGGCTGAGACGATATGAGATTTCCGTGGCTCTAAATCTGTCAGAAAGACAGGTAAGCATTGATCAAATATCCTGCGATGGGTGCAATAACTTGGCTAAAAACAAGGCAGTATATTACTTTTCAATGCATACTATTCTCGGTCTTCATTTTGCCGCTATGTAGTCGAAATCTTTGAAAATTTACCCCTGCCCTTAATGCAACTGATGATTAAGATTAGTCCCTGCAACCTGCCCACTCGGTAAGTGATGCGTAAGTACGGCGTATTGAAGATACATTTAAAGAAATTCGGTACACCTGAATTTTCTTCAATTTATTGCACACGAGATTTTGTAAATCTTGTCTACTGGGACTTATCACGATATCAAAACGAATGACCACAGCGAATACCTATCGGTGTGCTATCGTTTACATCGCAATCTGGTAAAAATCAACCATTGCATTGAAAAAAAATAATCTATACATTGGTCCCTTCATATCATCGATCTCTCCCTACCATCCACAAACGGAGGTAACACCTATTCCGAGCAACTGCACTCACCAGGTCATAATTATACAACTCGCTTTGCAAGGAAGTTCAGGAATTCTGCTATTTTGTGTTGTGCGCACTTAGATGCGTCAGTCTACCTTGATATTCGTGTTGGTGGTTATTTGGAATACGGCGTCAGCGTTTGGCTTTGTGGGAACCACATCTGTTAGGTTCGCTCAATATAGTTAGTGCAATTTTCGCAGCCTATCAGTTGATCTTATTTGTGTCCCTAAATTTTGTTGAAATCGTTCACGAGAAAGAAAACTCTTGGCGATCAATTAAAGGTTCATAATTTGTATACTAATGGAGTTTGCCTGCAAGGGACTACATCCCGGTTTGGCGTAGAAGGAACTGGAGATGACATGACTGGGGCAAATGAATACCTGTTGGTAGTGATAGAATTTAAGTGTTAGGAAGAAGCACAGACTTCGGTCTTGGTTTGTTGGACGATAAAGAAGGGTTGGGTGGGTGGGAAAAATCCCAGTGAAAATAAAAATTGAAGCTCCAAAATCGCTGTAAACACTCGCATTACAATCATGTTCAGAATTTGAGCCTCGAATAGAAAAAAGGATATTATATTTTTGCCGGCATCAATAATTCAGGAAACAATGGTTTGTGAATTTAATTCTGATAAAAACAAGTATATTTTGAAGGTTTAGTTTCCTGTCTTATTTAACCGCGATAGACAATAACGGTTCTACAGAAACCAAATGGAAGTTAGATGGGTGCTAACAAATTGTATTCCTGTTTCATTCACGTTTTATGCAAATTATTGAGCGTTCATCCTCCCTTCCCCGGAGAGAGAGCATCTCCCCAAAATGAATAACTTTGACCGGTCCAGGCATCGCTTGTTCTTAGAGAGGGGGGAGGGGGTTGTATGCAGGTGGCTGACGTCCATTCGGCGAGTATTCATGTGAATGCGTAATCCACATCAAACCATTTGTTATGTTGAAGCATTTTTGATTTAGTAAGATGGACAAGGTCATTACTCGAAAGTCGAATGATTTACCCTCTACTTCTTGTTTCCCTTAACCGCAAAGGTTGCCAAAAAGGATATTTTTATAAGGATAACGTATGAATTCCTAAGGCCAAAATAGGCGGAAAATGCCATTCGAATGTTGTGTACCACGGAAAGTAATCTTGATCACTAAACTCCTCTCTTCTCACTACCTCAAAAGAAGGCCTCGGCTTAGGAGTAGATTTCAGTTTCTAGGGCTAGGTTTTGTGTCTGTCAGTGTGGCTGGTGCTTTTAGGGACAATCATGGGACTGTAAAAAATACACTCGCTTGGTTACTGTGGTGCGCCCAATATATATCACATAAACACGTACGGTCATACACCTATTGGATCTGCCATATTCACGGCTGCTTTCTATTCCTCGCCGGTATGCTTCTGAGTCTCTCAATCTGTATGTATAAATGCGTGTGTATGCGCATTCATTTGGTAGTCCTCAGACAGTAAGGCTTGTAAGAGAAGAAGCCATCAATGGATGTGGGGAATGGGGGTTGAACTGGCGACCGTCCATCACACCGTGATCCTGAATCTTGACAAACCGCAAACAGGGCAACTGTAGCACGCAAGTACAATCGCTATTCCCGGTCAGATAAAGTTTGCACCCCCCACCTCCGCTTCCCCAAACCGCACTCAGTCCGTCACCGCACCATACGAATGAACATGATCACGGGAACATGGCTCACATCACGTAGCCCACCTTAGTTGCCAAGGCATTTTTCATCTAGGCATTCTCCCATGCACCACTATACGCCAACCTGATCCTAGCATTGACCGAGCGGAGTGTTTGATGGTGTGTGTAGGGGGGGGGGCGTCAAGGGGAGGGGGTAGGTGGAATGAATAGCTGCCTCGGTCTGTATGCACTCGTTCTCGGAGAGATGCATGGGAAACCGCGTAGGTTCCACCTTAGGCCACGCTAGTGTGAACCATAGGCCCAGATGCTCCTTTTTATTCACTAAATCCATGTCAGTTAGACATAGCTCATGCGGAGTGTTTTGTGTTTCCGAGTCCTTCAGTTCGAATAGAACTCGCTGAGGTTTTCTGCCACTAATCAATAGCGGATATAGTTCAGATAACGTGGAATAAAGTCAAAAATGGATTTCGGGAACCATCGATTAACTGATGACAGACACCGTGCAGGGAACCACGACTGTACAGCAGGAGTGCCATTACCACAAGTGACAACAAGAGCATTACAAAAAGTACAAGCCGGTAATCAAACCGGGTGAGGGAGTCCAAGTGTCACAAATCGCGGAATATGATCCAATCAGATCGCAGAGAGGGTCAGAGGGAATTCACTCGTTCGAGATCACGGGTGAGAGGGACAAGGCAATGTGCAACGATGACACAATCGCACTGTACTGGCACTCGCCATACTACGATACTTGATAGTACAACTCATTCTGACGCCATTTGAGGTCGCTAAATACAGAGGGGTCTTTTTGACGTATCCATGTAAGAAAACTGGTACATCATTACGTGTATCAGCGTCAGCTCATCTGCAAAGAGTTTCCCAATTTCCCATGTGTGTAAAAAACCGCTGCAACTTTGAGGTAAATGGAAAGATTGTCAGTGATTATTTGAATTAGTGGTAACGTCTTACTGCGTGGGACGGATGGTCAGGGAATCCGTATCACTTATTCCAGTATTATTCATAGGATTTGGACTAAATTATGAAGTGAACTGAGATAACATGAATTTTGTTTCATTACTGAATTCGTCAGGTACGGTGCTACGAATATTTCGGAAAAATGTATGTACACATCCCTACTAAGATATTTTGGGCATCATCAACGCAACAGATTGATCGATTCAACCCGATCCAAACCCGAAATGAACTATTGATGTGGTATCATATATTTGTAATAGCATAGTGCAAGTGAATACCATTACCCGTTTGAGCCACATGCTCATGGTTTACTCCCTGAGTTGTTATGACTGGTCAAGCAGCGCAGGCTCATTTAATTCTTGGTGGTCAAACGGTCATTTTTCCGGGTGTGGCACTTGCATCCTGTCGCCCACAACTTCACTGTTCCGATCGAAATCAGGTTTTATTATCGGTTCCAAACCAACATGAGGTTGAAATGCCAGTAATCCGGGACAAGATAGAGACAGGACTTCCTAACGTTTCTCATCAACATTCTTTACCCCTCATATTTGAGAAATTATTGATAAACATTTTTCTGCTAATCAACTACATTATCACTCTCATACTAATGTTGGTCGTAGCTCGAATGTTGATTCGTTCTATCAACCTCTGCACCTGGCTCATTTGCAAAGAGTTACTATTTAAAGAAAAATATTATTTCGCATTGGGTTGACTATCATTTTGTTTTACTCCGAATGTTTTAACCCAAAAACAAATATGAATTATTTTCAGGTGAAAGTATGGTTTCAAAATCGGCGAATGAAATTCAAGCGAATGAGAGGTGAGTCTAAGTTGTCTAACGCATTTCCTCAGTTTTCTGAGTTGCATGAATTCCAAATTAGCAGCAAACAGAAGTAGTTTCCGGAGGTACTGGTACAAAATTGTCCCCGCCTTACGTGGTCTTCACGGAGTGTTATATCGATGGAATGACACACATACACCCACTCTACAGGTAGAAAGGTCCTGAATGGAAAATAATTATCTATAATTCGCTTAAAATCGATTCGTTCCACACAACGTGCATAACGGAAGAGTGCTTATGGAAAGGTAAATATGAATCAGGTGCAAACTTAAGATTTTTGTCGTCATAAAGCTTGGAACATCGTGTAAGTTTTTAACGAGTCGTTAAGATGCTAGGTGTAAAGGGAGTAGAACAAGTTATTTCTATAGAATTCTGATCACGAAGACATCGATGATAATGATGATGTTGGTGATGATCACGGTAATCATGATCTTGATCATGGTCCTAACCACTCCGTCCTTGACGAGCTTTAATTGATCCCAGTAAGGCTTTTACTTGTGACAAAAAAATCCATCACTAGTGTACAAAATCCCGTGACTGAAATTCTGGACGAAACAATCTGAGACCACTCAACTGATGATCATTAAGAATGGGTTTTTCGAGAGACGCTGGATATGCAGTGGTACTAATAATTCCTACAGCACCATCTGAATTAGTTTTTACCCAGAAGAAAACAGAACACATGCTGTCCAGCCAGATGACCTCAACCAGTCACATGACATGAAAATAGAAATACGGCACATTGTTCTTCATATTTCACAATACGAATAAATACGTTGGAATAAATCAGGGCACAGAACAACAGTCCTATCATGGTTTTCATAATGCTCATTATCTTGGCCACAGAAAACAACAATTTGATAAATAGCTTCGCGAATGGGCTAAAGATTACTGGGTATTCTAAAGACTCGGCAAGATATCGCTTCTAATTCGTGCTGGTTGGACGAGAATCGAGACCCTCTTTACAATTGACCGATCAATTGATCAATCGACAGATAAATTAGGTTAAATAAAATCAATTAATAATTCCTTTACTTCTTTACCCATATTTAACTCACAATTATTTGACAGTGACCGTGTAAATTAAATTTTATCCACGTGGACTGATCATTATTTAGATTTTCAGTTTTCAGTTATTCCAGTTAACCATACAGTCGGGCAGCACTTCTTCTATATTCGGTGTACGAATGAAATTCAAGCAAATGTACCAATGGTTACATGATCATCAAAATATACGTAATATTCGTTTCTACACATTTTCCTCTCTCTCCAGCCAATCGTCATTTCTGGTGTGATTCTATTGTGATGAAATAATAAAAAAGTTATTGGGGAGTACAGTTTTACAAACAAAGACCACAGCTAGCGGAAATTAGCCGCAGTCCAAAGCTGCGGTGATCTCATGCTAGCACTTCAACATCATAAGGTCCTTTCCTTGTTCTCCAATACGAGTCAAACGAGCACCAAGTATTGATCGGATTCTTTCAGCTAGCACGAACGAGAACGATCAACCCGAGCCTTTAGAATGCCCAATGAATATCGGTTGTGCACAGCAGGAGTGTTACAACCAGCAAGCAGCTGGACAACAGATAACAATAGGAGTTACAATGAGGAATTACAGTGTACACAAATCGTGGAACCATGTGCAGTCAGAGCGTAAGCACGAACATAGGAGTCACGAGTGAAAACCAAAAACGACGAGAAGCGTTGGAACACTTGCCCAGTAGACTGTCCTGGATACCCATACTTGTTAGCCTAATGGAGGTTACTCAATCCTGTCGGTGATTTACTCAAAAAACTTTTAATTTGAATTTTAAAATTCAGGTGTGAGTGCCCCAAAAGAGCCAGCATTGGACGATTCTCTTCCCTATCCTGATGGAGGGTCCCGGACACCGAGCTGTTGACGAGGTGTTGACAACTAAAGCAGCGTAGTGAATCGCCAGGACTCATCCCCACCCGTCCCCGATCTCGGATTAACACTAGTCGCGGACTTCAAGTGACCAAATGCCTCGAGAGGAAGAGACACAAAGCACACTACTGGAATCACAAAATCGTATTTCTTGTTTGTTTGTACAGACACGTGTATGTATGTGTGTGCGCGCAGAAACTTAATGTTCACGAATATGCATAGTATATGGATATATATACATATATTCAAACAATCGCACACATACACACACGCACAAAACATCATACTCATGCACAATCGCATAAGATAAAACTGATGCACCGATTATTTGTTCTCGCTGCTTCATCTTCAGGGCAGATCGCATCAGTTCAGGTTAGGTGAATGTGTTTCAAATCAAATACAGGGGGTTAGACAGTCACTCAACAACTTAGTAGATCGATCAATCAATTAAATGATCAGTGGTAGCAGATTCATCAATTTGGAAAAATAGAAACAGCACTTTACGTACAAAAAATGTTGTATGTTTGGGTGAGTGGGCGTGTGTGTGTGGGCGATAGAGACAAAGCGAGAGTGTAAGAATGGGGACGACAGAGCGAGGGAGAGAGGGAAAGCACACGACGTTCAGGACTGACCGAGAACGGTGAATTCACGCTATCACATACAACAGCAGCAGCAACAACAACCACGAGGAAAGTGAGCACAAAGGAAAGACAATAGTGAATGATGATGATGATGATGATGATGATCACTCCGCATCCATTGTGGAGATGATGACCACGAAAAACATAAGCTTTTCTTTGAGTGCAATCTCTCGCATTGCTTCCATTTGTTTTGTGATTTGGACTGTGATGAAAGGAAAGTGGTCAAAGAGGTAATCGAATATACACGACTCGTATCGGCGTATTATTGTCTGTCACTTGTACTACTGAACAGAGGGCTAACAAATGGAACCTGAATCAGGACGTACGTATGCACGTATGCAGAGACACAGAAAAAGATACGAAGGAAAATACTCTCGGTTCACTGATTGTATCAAACTGAGCTCAACCTATCACCGATTATTAGATAGGATGAACAATGAACAAAGGTGTTTTAGGGGAAACGGTTAGAATGAAATTTCGAAACTTAAAACATCTCTGTAAGTGAAATGTAGAAGAAAATGGCCTACATTACCAAAAAACGAGCAGGACGCATATGCCTGTAAAACTCGCATACGGACAAACAGACAGAGAGAAACAATGTATGCTTTTAAAGAGAACGGGCACAATACAATGCGCGGTGGATCAGATGGACCAAAATCGAAAA